GAACTAGAGTCTCTCTTTCCTGAGCATCTTATTCTGAGCCCCTTCTGTAGCATGGTTCCAGTTTACTCTGGAATCCCATTCTCTGTCTTTATTTTACTGGACTTTTATGGGAAATGCAGAGAGATATGAAATCTATATCTGAGGATGAGGCCTATTAACTATTGGGTCCCATTAATAAATATATGTACCCTATATTGATTATATAGTAGAAATAGGCCAGCAAAGTAATGAGTGTGTTTAAAACTACTAGCTGCGGACTTCCCTGGTGTCACAGTGGTTAAGAATCCGCCTGCCAAATTCAGGGGACACGGGTTCAATCCCTGGTCCGGGAAGATCCCACATGCCACGGAGTAACTAAGCCCGTGCGCCACAGCTGCTGAGCCTGCACTCTAGAGCCCACATGCCACAACTACTGAGCCCGTGTGCCTAGATCCCGTGCTCCGCAACAAGAGAAGTCTCCGCAACAAGAGAAGTCACCACATTGCGAGGCCCATGCACCGCAACAAAGAGTAGCCCCCACTCATTGCAACTAGAAAAAGCCGCCACACAGCCAAAAAAAAAAAAAACTACTAGTTGCTATGCCTATGAAGTGGTGGATTTATGCGGTGATTTCTACAAAAAACAGAAAGCTAAATATGGTTGGCAATGCGCGGGTTAAGGGCACCAACCTCCAGTGCAGTCAAAAATCTTAAGATTTTTCTTATAACTTAAGATTTTTCTTATAACTTAAGAGTCAGCCCTCCATACACACAGGTGGCATCCATGAATTCCACCAATTGTGGATCGTTTAGTGCTATAGTATTTAATTTCTTTTTCTTTCTTTCTTTCTTTTTTTTTTGGCTGTGTTGGGTCTTCATTGCTGAGCAGGGGCTTTCTCTAGTTGTGGAGCACGGGCTCTAGGCGCGTGGGCTTCACTAGTTGTGGTGCACAGGCTCAGTAGTTGTGGCACACGGGCTTAGTTGCTCTGCAGCATGTGGGATCTTCCCAGACCAGGGATCGAACCCTTGTCCCCTGCATTGGCAGGCAGACTCTCCACCACTGTGCCACCAGGGAAGTCCTGCTGTATTATTTAGTATGGAAAAAATCTGAGTTTAAGTGGACCTGTGCAGTTCAAACCCATATTGTTCAAGGGTGAGCTGTCTTCCTTTATTGGAAGGTCATATTATCATCTGATCACAAACTTGAGTCATGTCATAACTTGTCCAGCTACCTAGTGTTAGCAGAAATAAAGGCTTCATATAAGGCATTCTGAAACCCAAAGGATTGTTTTTGACAGAATTCTTCAACAAGTCACGGCATATACAGTGATTTTTCAAAGGACCTTTGCAAACAATATCTTACAACAACCTTAAGGGCTAAGCAGGATGGACATTGTAACCCTTGCTTCTAGATGAGGAAACACAATCCCATAAATGTTTCAAAGTCTCTACAAAGTCTCACCGGAGACTGAAGGGAATAACAAGGCTAGCCTCCTGGATTCTGCATTATTTTCTTGTAAAATTGAAGCTCGAAATGATTATCAAAATGTTGTTTCCTGAATCCTATGGGTAGCCTGAGTTGCCATAAGATCTGTGTCTCTGTAGTGTACAGTTGGTGAATTTTTGTCCCTTTCTACTTTTTAGACCTAGACAATATCAGAACATACCTATTTATGGAAACACACTAGGAACAGTCCTAAGAAGAAATAAAATGTTACCTGATCTTGGTGCTACAAAAGAGCAACATTTTAAATAATACACTCAATCTAACTGCTCACTAGATCTATCAAAGTAAAATGTAGATTTGTTGCAGTTTTTAGGGAACACTTTTGTCTTAGTACTAGTAGGAAGACTGCTCTAGGAGATAGTCCTAAAACACATCTATGGCTCAGACACATGAGAAAATTATTTCCCAGGCTTGCAAATAGTTCAGGAGGGCACCAGGTTGGCAGGGGGTGGGAGGAGGTGAGGAGAGGAGGCTCACACAAGGTCCTGAACACAAGGTCTCCAAGGTACCCTACATGAGAAACAGCAGGTGAAGGAAGTTTGAAAAGACAACAGAAGGGGTCAGAAGTTGAAGAGAGAGAAGGGAAGGACGGTAAGGGTCAAGCAGAGCAAAGTTGCCCCTTGCATTTGAATTGTCTCTGCTCTGGGAACAGGGAATGGAACATCACTAACCTACACAGCAGATGACTTAGAAAGGCAGCCCAGAGTGGCCTGGGTGCAGGCCATGCCTCGCATGGCTTTTCAAGACTTTTGCAGGTTTTCTTATGAGGGAATTTCCTGCTG